GTCGTGCAGGTAAGCAATGAGGTGTCCCTCGATATCGGTAGCACGGCTCATCGGCTTCAACAGCAGCATCATTACACCAACATCCTCCCCTTTGCGTCTCACACAAGCACTCTCCTCAGCCAATCAGCCAGCACACGCTTCGCGTTGCACACCCACACAAGTCACCGCTGCGCTACGAAGCTTCAGCACGACGTCCAAAATGTCTGCCCCGCGCAATGCTCAAAAGGTTTCTGCTGGGACGTACACTCCTACCCAACTTCAAAAGATCGTCTGGGGTTCAGGTAGCTTGTCCAGTCTGCCCGAACTGGTCCAGCTCGTCTCTGTACCTCCTCACGCTTCCACAGACCAACCAAACCAACCTGCCAAAGCGATGATCCTAACAGGCTCTTCTCTCTCCAAAACCTCCATCATTCCAGAAGCCGAAAAGATGTTGGGCAAGCATTTCGCATTGACGTACACTGGCATTGGCGAACACTCGCCCGTCGAGGGCATACGCAAAGCTTTGAGCGGGATGAAAGAACACGGAGCTAATGTGATTGTGGCTATTGGAGGTGGAAGTCCCATCGATGCTGCCAAGGCCATCTCCTACTACGCGCACCAAGAAGCGCAACAAGACAAGGACAAGCACGGCTGCAAAGATGGCAAGGATGATGACGACGATCATGATGACTTTATTCCCATCATTGCGGTCCCCACCACGCTCAGCGCTGCACAGACATCTCGAAATGCAGGCTATACGGACGGAGGGAAAAAAGTGGGCGTGAGCGATGCGAGGATCGTTCCTCGGGCCCTGGTGCTGGATGCCGATCTCACGCTCCAGACGCCCGAGAGGTTGTGGCTGTCGACGGGAATGAGGGCGGTGGATCACGCGATCGAGCTGCTCTATCGACCCGATCCTTCGCCCCTCTTGCGCAACATGTGGTTAGGTGCACTTCGCGATCTCTTTCACCTCTTGCCCATGTCAAAATCTCAACCTCAAAATGTCGACGTTCGACAAAGATTGCTCCTCGCTTCCGTCGCTTCGCTCTGGTCGGAGGATCGTGTGGGGGCGTTGGGCTTGTCGCATGCCCTGGGACATGCGTTGGGCGCTACGTACAAGATTGGACATGGTATCACAACCTGCTTGACTTTAGCACCCACCATTCGTCTCATGGCTCAACTTCCCCTCGACAAGATCGGCACCGAACAGCTCGTAGCGCTTTCCGAGTCCCTCGACCACATTCCAAAGCCTTATCACGTCGATGCTTTGCACAACATCGCACCACCTACGGGCGCTCTGTTGCAGCAGCAACCTTACAAGGAGCTGGATGAGCAGAGCGCAACACCTCTCAGACAGAGGGCGCAAAAAGTGGCGGATGCGGTGCAAAGGCTGATAGATGATCTGGGATTGCACAGCACCCTGCAACCGTTGGGCGTGCCCAGACAAGATTTGGACAAGAGTGAGTACGACATCCCCGACCCTTGACAAGCGCTCTCTCTCTCTTTGCTCAGCTCGTTCCCTCGACAAAAGGGGGACGCGCGCTTCGAATTCAAAGGAATCAAAAAGTAGAAGTAGAAGGGATAAAAGCTGATGGCGCCTCCC